ATTTTCACCCCCAAGGAAACGATTCCTCAAAATGAGTTGTACTTCAAAAAAACACTCTGTTATAGAGACAATTTATAGGCTAGGTGGCATGGTGTGAGAAAGTTTCTGAGGGGGCGGCAGCTAAAAAAATATATTTATAAATTCATTTTCACCCCCAAGGAAATGATTCCCCAAAATCAGTTGTACCTCACAAAAAATACTCTATTATAGAGACAATTTTTAGGCTAGGTGGCATGGTGTGAGAAAGCTTCTGAAGGGATGGCAGCTAAAAAAATATATCAATAAATTCATTTTAACCCCCAAGGAAATGATTCCCCAAAATCAGTTGTATCCAAAAAAAATACTCTGCTACAGAGACAATTTATAGGCTAGGTGACATGGTGTGAGAAAGCTTCTGAACGGGAAGCAGCTAATTTCAACCCCAAGGAAACGATACCCCAAATCAGTTATATCTCAAAAAAACACTCTATTATAAAGATATTTTATTGGCTAGGTGGCATCGTTTGAGAGAGCTTCCGAAAGGATAGCAGATAAAAAATAAGTTTGTAAATTCATTTTCACCCCCAAGGAAATGATTCCCCAAAATCAGTTGTATCTCAAAAAAATACTCGTGTGAGAAAGCTTCTGAAGGGGTCGCAGCTAAAAAAATATGTTTATAAATGCATTTTCACCCCCAAGGAAATGATTCCTTAAAATCAGTTGTAGCTTAAAAAAAGACTCTATTATAGAGAAAATTTATAGCCTAGGTGGCATGGTGTGAGAAAGGTTCTGAATTGGTCGCAGCTAAAAAAATATGTTTATAAACTTATTTTCACCTCCAAGGAAGCGATTCCACAAAATCAGTTATATCTCAAAAAAATACTCAATTATAGAGAAAATTCATAGACTAGGTGGCATGGTGTGAAAAAGCTTCTGAAGGAGTAGCAGCTAAAAGAATATATTTATAAATTCATTTTCACCCCAAGGAAATGATTCCCCAAAATCAGTAAATCAGTTGTTGCTCAAAAAAATACTCTGTCATAGAGAGAATTTAAAGGCTAGGCGACATGGTGTGAGAAAGCTTTTGAAGGGGTAGCAGCTATAAAATATGTTTATAAATTCATTTTCACCCCCAAGGAAATAAATCCCCAAAATTTCTTACATCATGCCACCTAGCCTATAAATTGTCTCTATGATAGAGTATTTTCTTGAGATACAACTGATTTTGGGGAATCGTTTCCTTGTGTGTGAAAATGAATTTTCAACCATATTTTTTTAGCTGCTACCCCCGCAGAAGCTTTCTCACACCATCTCACCTAGCCTATGAATTGTCTCTATAACAGAGCATTTTTTTGAGGTACAACTCATTTTGGGGAATCATTTCCTTGTGGGTGAAAATGAATTTTTAATCATATTTTTTTATCTGCTACTCCTTTAGAATCTTCCTCACAGCATGAGACTAGCCTATAAGTTGTCTCTATAAGAGAATATTTTTTTGAGCTACAACTGATTTTGAGGAATCATTTCCTTGGGGGTGAATATAAATTTATAAGCAAATTTTTTTTTTCTGCTACTCTTCCAGAAGCTTTCTTACACAATGCCACCTAGCCTTTGCATTGTCTCTATAATAGAGTATTGTTTTGAGGCGCAACTCATTTTGGGGAATTATTTCCTTGGGGGTGAAAATTAATTTATAAATATATTTTTTTAGCTGCTACCCCTCCAGAAGCTTTCTCACACCATGTCACCTAGCCTATAAAATATCTTTATAATAGAGTATTTTTTTGAGATATAACTGATTTGGGGTATCGTTTCCTTGGGGGTGAAAATGAATTTATAAACATATTTTTTTAGCTGCTACCCCTCCAGAAGCTTTCTCATACCATGTCACCTAGCCTATAAATTGTCTCTATAATAGAGTTTTTTTTTTAGATACAACTGATTTTGGGGAATCATCTCCTTCGGGGTGAAAATGAATTTATAAATATATTTTCTTAGCTAGTACCCTTTCAGAAGCTTTCTCACAATATGTCACCTAGCCTATAAATTGTCTCTATAACAGAGTATTTTTTTTAGTTACAACTGATTTTGGGGAATCATTTTCTTGGGGGTGGTATTGAATTTATAGATACATTTTTTTAGCTGCCACCCCTTCAGAAGCTTTCTCACGCCATGTCACCCAGGCTATAAATTGTCTCTATAACAGAGTATTTTTTTGGAAGTACAGCTCATTTAGAAGAATCGTTTCCTTGGGGGTGAAAATCAATTTATAAATATATTTTTTTTAGCTGCTACCCCTTCAGAAGCTTTCTCACACCATGCCACCTAGCCTATAGATTGTCTCTATAATCGAGTATTTTTTTGATGGGGAATCATTTGTTTGAGGGTAAAGATGAATTTATAATCATATTTTTTATCTGCCACCCCGTCAGAAGCTTTCTCACACCATGCCGCCTAGCCCATAAACTATAATAGAGTATTGTTTTGAGGTAAAACTCCTTTTGGGGCATCATTTTTTTGGGGGTGAAAATTAATTTACAGTTATATTTTTTATCTGCCACCCCTTCAGAAGCTTTCTCACACCATGCCACCTAGCCCATAAATTGTCTCTTTAATATAGTATTTTTTTGAGATACAAATCATTTTGGAGAATCATTTCCTTGGGGGTGAAAATGAAATTTTATTTATATTTTTTTATCTACTACCCTTTTAGAGATTTTTTCAGTATATGCTATTTAGCTCATTAATTACTTTTAATACCATATATACAATAATCCGTAAGTGAAATTTATTGGAAGAAAGGTTTTGGGCTAAGTGTTGTTCCTGCGAATTATTTAATTGGGGTGGAAAGTGATTCTTCCTATAGGGGTGCTTATTCTCGTGCATATATATTAATTGCTCCAAGCTGTTAGGTGTATCCTTCACAACACAGTCTGGTCGAGGATGTCGACGCCACTTGTCTGCTAAATTTGTCTGCCAACTTCACACCGGTAATATCCAATGGCTCCGACATTCCCTCTGAATCAGAGATCACCGTACAAGATGACCAGCTTTAGAATAACAATCCCTACGCACATCAGGATGTCATGAGATACATTCAGATGCCAGCGATTACCAAGAGAAGATGGTCAAGCGGTCACTCAGACCTAGGATGCCGCATCGGCCAAAGGCCATCGTGTCAGCATCCCAAGCGCTCCGACGTTTCCCCTGATAGAGGAAACCGAGCAGTAATTAACATAACCACCTAAACCCAACAATCGGGATCCGAAAGTCCCATAACAACCCCCAGAGACTGGAGGCGTCACCCCTGTATGAGCCACCTAATTTCCCTATCCTTATCCGCAATTATTGAACCCGTAAGCTATTGATAGAAATATGGATGTATGATCCAAGCATCTTTATAAATATGGATATATGCTCAAAGCATCTTTATAAATGTGGATATATGAGCAGAGATTCTTTATAATTATAGATATATAATCAAAGCATCTTTATAGATAGGGCTATACGGTCAAGCTTCTTTATAAATATGGCTTACGACATTCATGATCATGAATATAGAAGTATTAAAGTTATCAATCCATGCAGTACTGCAGAATAAAGGAAATACTCAGTGATTGCTCACCTTTCAGGTAACCAAAACACTACAGCCAATAGCGCATCAACACTGTGATTAGGTCCACAATGCGCACTACTTGGTCTGAGAAGCGGTGGCTTTCACGCACTATTTGAACTGTGATGCGACCCACGCCTGCATTTTTAAGAAAGTTTATCCCGAGAACAAGTACCTACAGGGTTCAACTCGCATGCAAAAATGTGTTTGAGATATTTCGTTAGCTTATATTTATGAGTAATATCCCGTCCACACATGGATGGACCACCCTGTATATGTATGTATATATATAGAGACAGAAAAGGATCATGCGGGAAAAGACACATAAAGAATAGGAAAATAATGGGCAAAATTCGCAAATAAAAGGAAAGTGGATTCGAGCAGAAAATAGGATCGGTAACCCGAGCGATACGTATTTCTGCTACGGATATGACACCAGTTAGTATAACTACTTACCTGAGAGATAATTTGAAAAAAAATATACTTTTAACATTCCATCAATATGTTAATTGAAACTAGCTACAACACTTATTTTTTCTCTTTATATGTTAGTACCTGGTCAGGAAAACTAGGTCAATTACAGAATGTTTATACTTTAACAAACATCAAGTACACATTAAATTTACTTCATTTCCTTGTGAAAAATCCTGTTCTTTCCTACATACACTAAGAAAAAAAATGGAATAGGCCAGTTAAAATTTTAATTAGGCCAATTAAGAAGTTTAATTAACTATGTGACAGCTAAAAAGTTTAATTATTTTAATTAAACACTGATTGCAAAACAGTTTACCTGAATCTATGAAACTAGTTTAATCATATTTTTCAAACCGTTTACTTAGATTGATAACACCAATTTATTTAAATTTAGTGAACTATTGAATAGAGTTTAGCTGCTTCAAGTATAAGAATTGAAGTATATTTATTGAATTTGCTTAATTGGCTTAGGTAAAAGTGTTTGCCTAGTTTTAATGGTATTATTTTATTTAGATTTAAATCGATATTTGGATAATATTTGGAATTTAAAAGAAAAAATTTCATGTTACTGAATGATGTATATTATAACTTCTACACTGACAAGTATTGGATATTAAAAAAATTTGGAAAATTGATATTGGTAATTGATGTTTTTGACTCCAAATAAGAGCTTCCAAATTTTATCGCCCTAACAACAACAATTCTTTGATTTAAATTCAGAAAGTAGGGAAAAGAATACCTGAAAGTAAGGTCACTTGATAATGTGTACAGAAAATGTACTTGTATTTCTTGTAATAAAACAATATTGCGCTCACCCGCATTCAACACATTTAAAACCTATATACTCGTAATGTCAAAAAAACGACATAATGTCATTTTTCAAGAAGCGCAATATACCTTCTGGTGCAAGTCAAAAATAGTTGTTTGTATATGTGAAGTATTTATTTAATGTGAGAATTAGGGACCCATCTTACAGAATTCATATAATTTTTCTCTTGTTTGCGTTCCATTCGCCTCTGACAGACTGTGATTTCCATCATGATAATATACGACTTTACCTCTTGTTTATTACTCGCAGCCGATGGTATTGATCTTCATCCATGTTTTCCTTCAATGTGTATTTCTTAAGGCCATTCATCAGATTTCTGTAGTAAGTTTCAGTTTCTATTGAATTTAGATCGAACCTGAATATTTCTCTGTCATGTACATTTAGTTTCTGCCATACTTCTAACACGTGTCTATTATCTATGTCCCATTCGTTTATGAGGAAATAACTCAAAACTGCCACTGTCTTGTTCAATTTTGTGTTAACTCTTTTCATGCTGAAAAATCGAACACCGTTAATTCAATAAATATAACTTCTACTGCAATAAATAGTCAATCCCTGTACAAATACCTATACTATAACAAGTTCTTGAAGAGTGAACTATGGGGATTCATTAAAAAGCTATTGTCTCCCACAGGATGCGACTGAGAGTGGCTTTTTCAAATCTGAATGTCTTTTTGTGTAATTAAACATAATTTTGAAACGGGGCGTAGCATGATATTGTCCATAGAAAACAATCGATTCTTTAGATCAGCAGAGAACAGACTGCACCCAAATTAATATTGATACTTTGTTTTAACATCCTGATAGTGATAGCCAAAAGAGTTATTTTTTAAAGCCTGATACATTAACTGAAAAAGCTTACTTTTGTTAGCCATCGATAATGAGCCGTTTAGATGTTATTATATATATATATATATATGTCATTTAAACGCAACTTTACTTTTTAAAAAATTTATTTGAGGACAGTAACTTCTGTCCGTTACAAACGTTTCAATTGAACTAGCGTACATTACGGTGTCGCGCCGGGTATTGAACACAAAGTTTACATAAGTGACTGTTGCGGTGCCTAGCCGGGTATTGAACTTATCAGTTAGCGTACATTACGGTGTCGCGCCGGGTATTGAACAACATGAAATGGGCGCAAGGCCTATTTATACTATTGGTGTGCTTACAAAGCACTTCTAGAAAACAAAGCATAAGCAACGAGTTAGCGAAAAGTCATCTGTTGCTGAGCTAGCGTCGGGTGCAACATTGTATGGAATAGTAAGTCCATTGTTGTGAGTGCATATAACATATATACTAAGTGACATATAAATCCGGGTATTGAACACAAAGTTTGCATAAGTGACTGTTACGGTGCCTAGCTGGGTATTGAACAACATGAAATGGGCGCAAGGCCTATTTATACTATTGGTGTGCTTACAAAGCACTTCTAGAAAACAAAGCATGAGCAACGAGTTAGCGAGAAGTCATCTGTTGCTGAGCTAGCGTCTGGTGCATCACTGTATGGAATAGTAAGTCCATTGTTGTGAGTGCATATAACAACTTCCCCCTATTACAAAAAGTTGTTGCCATGCGACAACCTTTGACAAAATTAGAAAAGTGTAAAAGATGTAAAAATTCAAAATGTAAAAATGTAGAAATGTAAAATTGTAAACATTGTAAAATATAAAAATATAAAAGTAGGAGTAATAAACTTGCAAAATACAAATTGCAAAATAACATCAGAAAATATAGATTCTGAAAAATAAAATTGTTAACATAAACAAGTAAATGCTGAAACAAAACGTTAAGAGCAAGGCATACAAAAATGTCATTAAAAATTAAAAGGAAAACTGGTTTTTCACAATTGGAACTTTTCACTCACTGAACACTACTGTAGTTCAATTTCTTCTTCATGGGGTTGGATGGTTGGTCTTCGACGTGGAAAAAGCCTGGGGATGTATCTGACTTTTGACGTTCCTGGTGACGGTCCATCAGCTGGGTAATTTGATGCACAAATACTGAGTGGTCGGCGTTTTCTGCACTTGCAGAAGATGTAGAGGGCTAAGACGATAGCTAGCAGGATTATGACGACGTACGTAAACCAGGAGATATGTCGTGAAACAAAAGGCTCATTAATAAGTTTGTCAAGTGGTTCAGAATACTGTTCAACTTGTGGTTGGCGATTTCTAGCTCTTCTGTATCGATCTTGGTTAGCTTGATCGGTTTCAGATTCGGCAAAATTTGTTTATCAGGGAGATGATGCATGATGCAGCATTCGTAGGGTATCCCTACAGGGTGGCTTTTATAAGTGATATTCTTATAAGCGTTAACAGAATATCTGGCATGAAGTCTTGTAGTGCCTATGAATCCACTGCATTCTGGCTGCATTTTCAAAAGTGTATTCGCTTTGATCACCTTTGTAGTTGTTTCATGTTGTCCGCATTTCATTGTGATGGGCAGCGGGCTAGATATGGTAATCAACCAAAAATTGGTTGCTAATTCCTGGATTTTATAATCCTGCAGAGCCACAATGGCTATTTGACATGTTGCTGGCAGATCGACCGGATTTCGCAACAATTGTGCTTCGCAGACTGCATTGTTGTCTATTGGATACGGTAAGAGGTTAAAACAGATCTTAACCTGTGATTGGAGAATTTTGCAACTACCCAAATTTTGAAAGGAGACGTACAAAAGAGAATTGCTATCTTTGGCAACGTATCTCTGTAACGTAGAAATTACATGAAATAGACCTGTACGTTCATCTAAAATGGGTAGAGGAATCGCTTTGTATAAAGTGTAAACTTCAGGTTCTAACAAGGGGATGCGTAGGACAAAAACTAGTTTTGTTTTTGTTTGAAATGTTGGAAGTTCCATTAAATTGAGATATTCTGATACTGTTGCCAAATTGACTGGCATAGGTGAATTGTTTTTTGATAAGGAATGAGAGATTCCTTGAAGAGAATTTACTAAATCTTGAGGAGTAATTATCGAAGGATGAATAATTTTCAAACGTGCAAAAGTAATGGAATCGAGAATATCGTTAATTGTCTCTTCTAGAAACATATAACTTTCCATTAGTTGTTCGCAAAGTTCCAAAAATTGAAATCTAGCTTCATAAAATGCAAGATCATCTGAAATTTCATAAATTCTATTTTGAATAACCTTTATGTCTTCTGGCACGGGCTATTTTATAATAATATTTGAGCTTATTCCGAATATCTCGAAGGTATTTAGACATCAATTCCTTTTCAAGGTAGACGTGTTCTGGGGGACGACCAGATGTATGTCCGAAGACAAGTTCGTAGGGAGTAAATCCTGTGGTTTTGTTCCTTGTGCTATTGTAGCACTGAACAGCATAGGGTAGGATATTAAAGGGGTGTTCGTTCGGATTTTCAGATACGTGCGTTCTAATCATTTCCAATAATGTGGCATGGAATCGTTCGATCGATCCATTGGACTTATGGTGACTGACGCTAGAGAATGTCATTTTGATATCATAAAGACTACAAAGATCTTTCATAAGAGCATTGTCAAATTCTTTGCCATAGTCGCAATGTATTCGAAGGGGTGTACCGTAATGTTGGAAATAAAAAAGAAGTGTATTCACGACATATTTAGCAGATTTGTCGTTAATAGGATAGGCTTGGGAAAATTTTGTAAGTTCATCTCGGATTGTAAGAGCATAGCACTGAGGCGGGACTTCTAGAATGTCAATATTGATGCGTTCAAATGGAGCTTTTGGAGTTTCTGTAACACCCAAAGGGGTACTGAGGTTTTTTCGGCAGATTTTAGTTTTCTGACGAATTTCACATTTCTTGATGAAATGTTCGACATCTTTAGTCAAACCGGGCCAATTGTATGGTTCACGGATACGTCTGATAGTTTCGTTAATACCTCTGTGGATATTTTTCTTACCACTATGGTATTGGTCTAAAATGATTAGAATTTCATCAGGGCTTGGAGTTTTAGTTACATTCTGACAAATGACAATTTTGATATTTTCGTCGGAAAATATGAAAGAAAATATTTCTTGGATTGGCAGATCTAGGTTATTTTCGACGTAGATTTGTTGGGACAAATCGAATATACCTTTGTTATTTAAAATAAGGGTGAAGAGATGTTGTGACCAATTTAAATTCTCGACCGTACAAATAGGGTCTATAATGTTTTACACTCCAAACAATAGCTAGGAGTTCTCTTTCAATCGTAGAATACCTCGCCTCTGCTTTGCACAGTGTACGAGATGCATAGGCTATCGGAAGATCTTTACCAATAGGTCCTTGGGAAAGTACGCCGGATATTGCAAAAGCACTTGCATCCGTAGTAAGCACAAACGGTTCTTCGAAGTTGGGGTAGGTCAGTACAGGAGATGTTGTTAAAGCATTTTTCAAGGTATCGAATGACTTAACACACTCGCTGTCGAAATCGAAGACTGCATCTTTTTGCAATAGTCTAGTCAAGGGTTTCGCAACTTTAGCAAAATTTGGGATGAAGCGTCGGTAGTAACCGGCAAGACCTAAGAATGATTTTATTTCTTTAGGACTTTTGGGTTGTGGGAAGTTTTTTATACAATCCACTTTATCTGGATTGGGCTTAACGCCATCAGAGGTTATTACGTGACCAAGATAGGCTACTTCCTTTCTGAGGAATTCACATTTATCTGGCTGAATCTTAAAATTCGAGTTTCGGAGACGTTTAAAAATTTCGGAAAGTCTGGTGATATGTTCTTGGATGGAAGGAGAATAGACAATGATATCGTCCATGTATACAAGACATCTTTCGTTTTGTATACCCATCAAGATGTTGTCCATAACACGTTGGAATGTGGCAGGAGCGTTCTTGAGACCAAAAGGCATTCTCAAGAATTGATAGTGTCCGTTCTCAACCGAAAAAGCGGTTTTGGCAACATCGGCTGGATTAATTTCAATTTGGTGAAATCCAGATGCCAAATCTAGTGTACTGAAGTACTGGCATTTCCCGAATTGATCTAGCAAATCGGAAATGTTTGGCAACGGGTATTTGTCATCAATGGTGATTTCGTTAAGTTTACGATAATCAATCACCATACGCCATTTTTGTTTGCCTGAAGCGTCCATTTTCTTTGGGACTACCCAGACAGGGGCATTCCAAGGTGAACTCGAGGGTTCAATAATCCCTTGTTTTAACAGTTTGGAAATTTGGTCTTTCACTTCTTGTTTATGGACATTAGGGTAGCGAATAGACTTAGTAAAAATTGGTTTGTTAGTTGTAGTGTCAATGGAATGTTTGATTTCGTTGGTGAATGACAAACTGTCACCATCTAAATAGAAAATGTCCGAAAATTCTAGACAAAGGTTGGTAATAAGTTCTTTCTCTTCATCGTTAAGATGCTCAAGACGTAATTGATCTCGAATAGCATCTCTACGATTATACTGACTCTTGTTCTTCAGGGATATGTTAAAATTGTTGACAGACATTTCATTAAAGGGTTCAAATTCTAATTTGGGCAGAATCACATTTTTAGGAATG